ACACCGTAAGGATTCTGGAGGGGCGCCCAGAGTTCACCCCCCAGATTTCTATCAGACCCCCCGGAACTAAAGACCGCAAAGGTATCCGCGGTCCGAGCTCCAGAATTGGTGCGGGCTTCCTGGATCCCCGCGAGAGTGACGCCCAGGAGGTCAAATTGAGTGCGGAGCAAATCGGCCTTGGCTCTCCCGTCCGCGAACCGCTGGGCGCGGTCATCTTCGTCGCTGTGGCGCAGGGTGAGAGCGTTGTAAGAGACCATTCGGCCGTTGAGCTTGGCCCCAACTTTGGGGTGGGGGGTGGGTGGGGTGGGGTGGGGGTGGGGGTGGGGGTGGGGTGGGGTGGGGTGGGTGGGTGGGTGGGTGGGGGGGGGGGGGGGCGTCGCCGAGGTGGCGGGGTCGGGGTGACTCGCAGCCAAGGTAGCGCAAGTAGCACGGGGGTAGGAGGGGTTGCACCAGAAACCTTGGTCATCTAAAGGTGGGTAGGCGCCCCGAACCGAGAGAGGGGCCCGCCTCGGCCAGTCCCAATCGGCGCAGCTGGAGTCCGACAAGACTTCCAGCACCGACGCAGGCGGAGACAATAAATCCCCCCGAGACGCCCGCTTCGCCAGGCTGTCACACAGCTCATTCCAAGGGTGTCCACAATGCCCTGGGACGCGGCGCAGCTGGACCTCGACTTGGGTCCTGGCCGAAAGGTATAACGCGTCAGCGGTGCTACTGAGCACCTGGGCCGAACAAACGGAGGACCCCCCCAGAGCAGCATCAATGGCTGCCAAGCAATCCGATTCAATGATCACTTTACCTTCGACCCCCGTGGACATAGCCCAAGCCAGACACCAAACAATCCCCGCCAGTTCCGCGATGATGGCACTGCCGGGGGTCGAAAGCCTAGGGAAGGCCAGCGTGGCCCGAGACCAGAAGGCGCCACCGAAACCAACACTGCCATCATCGTTGCCCAACGCGTGGGCCATGGCCCATCCAGAGCCCGTGGGGTCCGAAGAGAAAAAGGAGCCGTCGACACAGAGATAATTTGTAGGAGCCGAGCCGCTCTGCACAGGCACAAGGTCCAATGCTGTGGCTGCAATGGGGTGGATGTCGTCGCGGCCCCCCAGATCACATAGTAACTGGGACCCACCAGTCGCCATGAGACCTTCCAGAATCGACCGTCGCAGCTTCACATCGCACCGCGCAGCGTCCTTTTTAGCGCAAGGCCCCAGCGCACCAGCGAGTGAGATGGTGATGCCACGGCCCCCCTTCCCCCCGAGCGAGCCCCGAGCAGGGGGGGGCCCCCGGGCCCCCGCGCCGGTGGCGTGGGGGGGGGAGCGGAGGACGGGCGGTGAGGCTTTTTCAGCGTAGCGAGCGTGAGACTGCTTCCCCAAGCGATCGTGACGCACCAATTCTGAGACAGAAGCCGGGTGTTCAAACTTACCATGTTTCCACTCGCCGCCTAGGAAATACGAGGCGGCGTCGGCGGGAGGAGACCTATCGGGGGCTTGGGAGTGTCTGGTGCGAAGGAGGGGGAGGTCCAAGCCGAGAGGACGAGAGGGTGGGGACACTCCCAATGGACCCCGTGCAGCCATCAAATGAGCTGCCCTCCTCCGTGCTGGCGGAACCATACCCCTCAGCCTCCCTCGAAGCCATGAGGTCGGGGCACCGATCGCTGGCTCCAAGGGGGGCCGAAGTCAAAAGATATTCGGATTCGGCATAGGCTGCCGCTGGGCCCGATGGGGCCCCTGGGTGATGAGACGGGGGAGAGACCGAAGGTCGGAAGAGGGGGCGCGGAAGGGCCACTCCCAAGGGTCCCTGGACAGCATGCGCGGCAGTGGCTGTCAGAGCACGGCGCAGAGAACGCCGAAGAACAGAACATGGCGACAGAAAGAGCTTTCACACAGAGGCGCTGGCACTCAGGAAGGCTCAGGCGACGTTCGCGACGGAGATGAACTTGATGAGGAGCAGCTGCTGGTACGAGCCGTGGGCCACCGCCAGAAGCCGAGGAAGGGGGGCTTGGCGGCGCCCTCAGTCTTCCTGGGACGTGGAGCCCAAGCCACACTCCAAGATGGCCCTTGCATAGGCTTGGTGGCTCATTGGCGGCGCACGGCTGCGTGGTCTGGCGGCCTCCGAGGCTGAACGACGGCTGCTGAACCTCCCGGCACTCCTCGACATCGGACGGCCAAATGACGGCGACCTCCGATCGCGGGCGGGCGACGGGGCCTCGGCCGCGGGCTCCCCCTTCGGCTTGACCCTCGGGGACGAACGCACGGACTCTGGTGAAGCAGGAGCCCCCGTCGATGCAGCACGAGTTGCCATGACCTCCATCATGATCTTGCGCATGTACTCGGACAGCGACGCAATCCCCTCCTTCACAGGCGTCAGCTGCTTCTCGACCTCCCCTTGCATCTGGGATACTGTAGGCGACCTTGGGCACGCAGCACTTGCCTTGGCCGCTGTGGGCGCTGGCGGTGGCGGTGGAGCCGGCACGCGCGGCGGGGCAGCAGCCGCCGCTGCCCTCGGGGCCGCGGCCGCCGCGGCCGCGTCCGCCGCAGGGGGCGGCTGCGCCGCCGAGGCCCCCTCGAGCTCCTCCTCCGCGCCAACCTCCGTGGACTCGCGCTCGTCGTCGAGCGCCTCCGTGAGCTGGATCTTCGTGATCTTGAGCGCCTTGACCTGGTCCAGCACCCGCTCGTAGTTCACCTTCAGCGAGTCGGCCTCCATCTGCTTGTCCTCCCACTGCTTGCAGGCCGACTCCACACGCGCCGTCATGCGCGTCAGGCTGCCGTCCGCCATGGTCAGCTGGACGTCGAAAGGCAGGTGGGCGATCAAGCAACGCCGCAGGACAATGAGCTGGCGTGCGCACTCCGACGTGTCCGTCTTCTGGGCCCAGAGCGGCTGGTGCTTTTTCTCGTACAGGGCGATCTTCTGGCGCACATCCTTGAGGTACTCCTTCTTGGCTTCCTCTGAGTTGCCAGGCGGCAGCGGCTTGAAGTGGTCCGATAGAGCAGCTTCCGACGGGGTGGCCATGCGCACATACGGTGCAGCACCGGGCTTGGCGGCCTTGGGCGCCCAGGGCGGGTCCGCGCCAGGCCGCCGCGGGGACGTTCCCTTCCTTGGCGAGGCCCTTGGCGAGGCCCCACGCCTGGGACTGCGGCCGCGCCAGCCCTGCCGCCAATGCAAACCACAGCCCCTGCAGTGCGCCAGGGCGGCGGCGTTGTGGATACCACAAGCATTGCCAACGTGGCATAGCACTTCCAGCTGCACGTTGAGCACTGTGATGAGCGCCGAGCAGCCCAGCAGCGCGGCCCAACTTCACCAGGGGGCGAGCGCGGGCACGCGCACGCCGCAGGCGCCTGTGCCACGTGGGCTCGGGCAGCCGAGCCTGAGAAAGATGGAGCGTGGTGGAGGCGGATCCACACACTCTGAAAGAAAGGAACGCGGCTGAGGTTACGGTGTCTTCAACACGCGTAAGGCCAGAACTCCTGCGGGCCTCCCCAGGCCCACTCAAGCCCCAGTGGCCTTCTCCTCTTCCTCCTCCTCCTCCTCTTCCCCTCCTCCTTCTCCTGCCCCTCCTCCTCCTCCTCCTCTTTTTCCTATCCCCTCTCCCGGTCCCCCGTCCCCCTCGTCCCCCTCGTCGTCGTCGTCGTCGTCGTCGTCGTCGTCGTCGTCGTCGTCGTCGTCGTCGTCGTCGTCGTCAGATGTGATTTCACAGGTTGCTGGACGTCTCTGGAGGCTCTCGGCGCCACGGCTGCATGCAGCTCGAACAATCAGCTACACGTACGAGTCTCCTTAGGCAAGAGTGACATTTGGTTCGCACCTTTCGAGCGCCACGGGGGGGCGAACCCCAGCGTGTAAGCCATTTCAGGCCTGTGCTCGGAGAGACCCTTGTGGGCCCGCGCCGAAGGTCACTCCGACGAAGGGTCACTAGTACGTGAAGCCGAAGCAACCAGTCAGAGTGGGCTCTGGGAGGGGTCCGGGCCCGATTCAGAGCGGATTGTTTTTGAGGGTCTGGATCGCCCCCGCAGAACTGGGAACACACGAGACATTCCGAGCAGGGCTGCCGCACGCGATCCTGGCGGGGAGTTCTTGACTCCCGAAGCAGCGCAGTGGCGTCGGCAGCGCGGGTGCCCAGTGAGGGAGTTGCAGAGAAGGGCAGGACGAGGATCAGGAGTAGGATCACATGGAAAAGCGTCAAAGATGATGCAGCCGCCAAGGGAGAGCTGACGTTGAGGGAGGGGGAAGATAATGGCAGCACCGCGGCCTAGATTAAGGCCTGGTGGAAGCGCCTGGGCAAGGAGAACGCGAGCCGAGGGCAGGATGGGAAGGCAAGTCCGAACCCAAACAGAGGCAACATACAGGACAAACGGATGGCACACAAGAAAACAGGAGGCAAACTTGACACGAAAGAAACGGGTCCCGAAGGAAACGGGACCTGGACCTCGGAACCTCCTCCCAAGACCAACTCTTCACCCTGAGTTGTTTTTGATAGCCCTCGGGCCCGTGGAAGGCCCCGCAAGCCCGAAACCGGTAAAAAGCTTCGGGACCCGCTTCCCTCAACACCCGCTTTCATCATGGCGATGAAGGGAAGCACAAGTACGGCTGGTGTTGGACAGATTGCGTGCAAAATCGATGTCCGAAAAACATGCTTTCTCTGTGAGGCGATCCCCCCGCGCGGCCCCCTTCTGTGCACCGCTACACCCTTGCCAGGGCTTCTTCGGTGTACGCAACCCCCAAATTGAGGGATAGCGCTGAACACGGTCGGGAACCTTTGCTCGGCGTGTCGCGGCGGCGGCCCCTTCGATGCGCCATGCCTTGCAGACAGATGGCGTGTCGCTCCGACTCGCGGGGCGGGAGGCTCGGAAAGGCTCGTGGCGTTGACGCTGGGGGAGGAGGAGGAGGAGGAGGAGGAGGAGGAGGAGGAGGAGGAGGAGGAGGAGGAGGAGGAATGGATAGCGTGTCGCGCCGAAGCGCGGTGGGGCAGAACCGGCGGTACGAAGCGCTAAAGCCAGCGTTCCTGCCTGCAAGCGGGCCGGCGGCGCCACGTCGCACGCTCTCTCTGCAGCGCCAGCTGTAGGAAGGAGCCCAGCCGCCGGCGGGGCTGCAGGCTGACGTTGACGCGGAGGGTGGCGCAGGCGGTGGCGCGGGCGGGCCGTCCCTGCGGGCGGCCACCACGGTTCCGACAAGAGCGTAGCTCCTCCTCCTCCTCCTCCTCCTGCTCCCCCTCCTCCTCCTCCTCCTCCTCCTCCTCCTCCTCCTCTTCCCCTCCCCCTCCTCCTCCTCCTCCTCCTCCTCCTCCTCCTCCTCCTCCTCCTCCTCCTCCTCCTCCTCCTCCTCCTCCTCCTCCTCCTCCTCCTCCTCTCGTCTCCTCTCCTCTCCTCTCCTCTCCTCCCCTCTCTCTCCTCCCCTCTCCTCTCCTCTCCTCTCCTCTCCTCTCCTCTCCTCTCCTCTCCTTCTCCTCCCCTCTCCTCTCTCTCCTTCTCTCCTTCTCTCCCTTCTTCTCTCCTTCTCTCCTTCTCTCCTTCTCTCCTGTCTCTCCTGTCTCCCCTCCTCCTTCTCCGTCTTGACCGCCCCCCCCCCCCCAGCTTGCATTCCTTTTTGTTCTTCCTCCTTCTCCTCCTCTTCCTCATCATCATAATCATCTGGGTAGGAAGATGAGGTGGAGGATGAGGATGAGGATGAGGATGAGGATGATGATGATGCTGCTGCTGCTGCTGCTGAGGAGGAGGAGGAGGAGGAGGAGGAGGAGGAGGAGGAGGGGGAACCCCTTCTGCTCCTGGTGCTTCTCGTGCTGCCCCTCTGCCTCTGCCTTCCACTCCTCTCCCTGCCCCCGCCCCTCCTCCTCCTGCCTCCCCTCCCCCTCTCCCTCCTGCTCGGGCTCTCCCCCCTCCCTCCAGTCTCGGCTCGAGCACCTGCGGGTGCAAGTGTGGCCACAGACTCGAAGCGCCCAGCACCTCACCTGAACGCATCGCGGTAATGGACACACGCCACATTTGCGCGTGACCGACTCGAGCCACCTCACTTCATTTCCGCGCGCGCCCGGTACACCACCGCAGCCCAAGCCACCAGGCAAGGGCCGCCCAAAGGTAGCCTCACATGATCGCCAGGACATCAACCTGAATCGAATGGAAACCTGTACCGCCGCACTCCAGAACAGTGGTGGCGTCGATCGAGCAAGTCGCTGCCTACAACGAACTAGCGCACAAACACCAGACCAGACTCGACAACATCTGTCAAATTATCCCAGTGCGACCCTACCTAGGAGTTGGAACCCCTAGGAAAGCAACATTAGTAGTAACAGTAACGCTAAGCTAAAGCTAAGCTAAAGCTAAGCTAAAGCTAAGCCACAGCTAAGCTAAATCTAAGCTAAAGCTAAGCTAAAGCTAAGCTAAATCTAAGCTAAAGCTAAGCTAAAGCTAAGCTAAAACTAAGCTAAAGCTGAGCAACAGCTAAGCTAACACTAAGCTACAGCTAAGCTAAAGCTAAGCTAAATCTGAGCTAAAGCTAAGCTAAAGCTAAGCTACAGCTAAGCTAAAGCTAAGCTAGAGTTAAGCTAAAGCTAAGCTAAAGCTAAGCTAAACGCTAAGCGAAAAGCTAAGCGAAACGCTAAGCTAAAGCTAAGCTACAGCTAAGCTAAAGCTAAGCTAAAGCTAAAGCTAAAGCTAAAGCTAAAGCTCCCAGGAGACTGGGGGAACCGCTCCCAGGGGACTGGGGGAACCGCCCAGGGCGCTTTTCACTGCCCGGCCCCTTTAAGCTAAGAGAGTAAGAACCCTTCTAGGCAGAGCCTAGGTAGGGAAAAACATCGCTTCGACCAGCGTAAGCTCAGGGACGAACTGATCACACTGTGCGGGAATAGCAAGATCGACTGTACTGTGCTGCGCTACTCCCTGACGCACAAGACGGGCTTCAGCCGTCACCCACCAGGGTCCATGGCCCCAACCGACGCCCATCAAGGCAACGGCACCGCCCCGCTCAACAAGCTGGACCATCGCTCTTGCTTCCAACCGGGCGGAGGCCGTCGCATCGTGCGCCAGCAGCATCTCCCTTCACGGGCTAGAAGAGGGCAACCGCCTCTTGCAGCAAACCCGCCGCCAAGACAAGCTCCTCGCACTCGCCGTCCTGGGACCAACCAACAACGATTTTCCATGGAAAGAAATCCCAATCCCTGTCATCCGTAGGACGGCTAAGGCTACCAGACCCACGCCAGGACACACACAGGGAACCATATACCAACTGGGCCGCACAGAGGCCAAATGTTTGCAACACGCTGTCCAGGTCACTCTCGACCCAGCAGGCTACGCAATATGGATCTGCGGAACCACATGTGAAATTGACGCTATCGCAGTCACGCCAGCGCTCGAGGAGCTGTTCACCTTCGAGTTCTAGGAAGCTGCTCCCATACGTGGCACGCGTATGCCAGGCGGAACGGGCACGGCTCAACAAAAGGCAGGGGAGCGCCACAAGTCGGCCAAGCGTGACAAGACTCGCCAGCAGCTGGACGAAGATCTCACGTATGCCTTCAGGCCCTGCCCCACGACGAACCCCCAGGGCGATTGGCCTGCGCAAGCACCGAGTGCGCTTTCAACGCGTGCCCATTCTGTGCTCAACATTTCCTCCGCCAACACGGTATGCACCAGCAGACCCCGTAATGCGACTGGTGTGGTGATCGGACATAACAGCGCAAGGTATGGCCCACGCAGCAGCACGGAGGCGACCCTGTAACCAACAGGGTCTGTTCTTACGCCAGGGTAGGCGGCCCCAGCGCGTGCGGATTCAACTGTCGAAACATGCAGGCAGTCTTGGACGACCAAGATCCGAGCGACCCCAGGGGCGTTACCTGCTACCACGGCGTGCGGGCGAAACTTTACAAGCGCACGGTGAGCCTAGGACTGCTACTTCTACAAGCTATCACCAATGCCGAGTGGTGTGCACGGCGCGGGAAGATCGCGAGCCGATGGCGGAATCACCAGACACCGCCAAGCCGCTAGCGCCACCAAGCCCGGGAGATCAAGACACCAAATCTGTTGAGCCTTTGTCTCTCCGTGACGAGCCACCCTACATCCCAGAGAGGCCACTCATCACTGCAGGTGGTTGTCATCTTCTACCCCGAACATGACACTATGACGAATGGGGGCCTTGTCAAACGGATGGCCGAACAGCCCTGGAGGTTCGTGCTCGCGGGTATGACAGAAGCGCAGGGGAACACTATCCAGGGGCAAAGTACGCCATGGAGCTCCCCGCCAAGGGAATCCACGGAGACGCTGCCAGATGGAAGCACGTCGAACTTTCCTGGAAAGACAAGACGTTGCATCTCCAGTCCCTCGTCCTCGACGTCTTGTCGGGGTGCAACAGCAGTTGCGGGCGAGGGTCCAACTATGCGGCCGCGTCGCCGAAGTTGCCCGCCGCCCTCAAGCCAGAGGCGCCACGGCCTCCTACTGACAAGATAAGGCCAAGCGGATCACCTTCGCCGGGCCGATGTCAAGTCCAATAGTATCGAGCAACATCAAAATGCGTCGCGCTCAAGTAGCCGGCCAAACTGTGCCGTCGAAGGACTCAGAAAGGCCCCAGCATCGGCTGCCTGAATGAAGCCTACGCCGAAGCAGCCCAGCCACCCGGCACCAGCCGAGGGTGAAGCTGCCACAGAACGAGTGCAGCTCACGCTACCGCAGCCTAGCCACCCGCCACTAGGCGAGGTCGCCATAGCCAAAGTCACCGCCAGCTTACCTGCGGGAGACGACGCTCCGCGCCGCCTGGCGCTTGTCGCCCTCTTGGCCCGCAACGCCATGGGAAACAGAAACCAGCTCGACCGCGCGCACTCGCCGCAGAGGCCACGCGAACTAAGACGCCATGAGGCGCGGAGGTGCGCGTCCTCCTCCGACTCGACGTCGCCGACATCTTCGGCAGGGGCACCAAGGAGAGCCGACTCGCGCAGACCAAAGGCGTCCATTGAGGCCAGCAGCGTGCAACCCCAGCGGTTCTACTCCGAAGGCATCCCCTTTAAACCGGCCCCAGCGAGCGCAAGTGCTGAGCCAGTGCCGCTTGGCACCAGAGGCAGAAGCAACGAGCAAGCGCCAGACCACTTCAGCCTTGAGCATGCGTGAGAACAAATGGCCCGCTATGGTGCCAGAGCACCGCCAGCTGGTGTCTATGTGCCACCCAAGGCAAGCTCGCCGCACGCATGGCCAAACCATGACCTCCCGCACCTCGGGGACAGTGACCCAAGCCAGCAACTCTACGACGATAGCGGCGGACGACCTAAGGCGCCAGACGGTAGCCCCATTGTCCAGCCCAGCGAAGCCCCGAACTTAACCAGCAGTGCAAGCATCGCCACGCAAGCGGGAACTGTCTGGCGGTAACACGAACACAGTTCTCGGGTACCAGAGTGCCCCGCAAACCGGCAAGCCCCTTGGCTACGGCGGGGCCAATGGCTGGAGGAGCGGCAACGTCCACCCTCCCACTGGTCCCCGAGACAAGAGAGGTGACCGCTTCTGCGCACACCCCGCCAAGCATACCCACCCAAGCCAACGATCAACCAGTAGCACAAGCGCAAGGAAGGATGGACGCCAGCCTGCTCGGGAGCCACCAGGTCCCCCCAAGATCCACCAGGACCGACGGGTAAAACCTATCCGGTCAGCCTGGACGACGACGGCGTTGACTTCGACCCCGAGTCCGACAGCCTCCTGGCCTTGCTCGAGGATGTGGACGCTGACGACGACACCGAAGCGACTGAGCAGGCCGCGGTGGGCGCGGAGCGGAGCGCGGGCGACGCTGCGTCCGTGTGCGCTGCTCAGCGAGCGCCCGAGCTGCTGCCCAATGGCACTGGCGGCTGTTCTGGCTGCGACCGCAGTCGCGGCTGCCGCCTTCGTGCCTGCCGCTGCCGCTCTGTGCTTCCTTTCTGCTTGCCTCCTCGGGTCGGGATGTACTTCGGAATGTTTGCGGTGGGTGCTTTCATTGCCCCCCTGGCGCGATTGTGGCCTCCGCCCCCCTGGTGCCAGGTAGGGGCGGATGGGCCCGAGAGAGGTCGCCCCTGGCAGCCCAGCATTTCTGGGCAAGGCCACAATGCCAGGAGTGACCCTAGCTCCGCGGACAGGGGAGGCCCGCAGATGGCCCACCTCGTCAGTGCCAACTTCGCTAGCCTGGATGCCAACTGGGATGTCC